TTGTCAACCTTGGGCTTGTCAGTCTCAGCAGCCAGAAGCTGAGTAAAGAAAAGCCTCTTTACTGGCTTTTAGTGGGCCAGGAGCAGGAGGCAGAACTGAAACCCAAGGTTGAGGGGGTTTCACGTAGCCCTTGGAGCCTGGCGCTTTGAACTGGGATTTAGAGCCTCCAAACGGTAAGAGAATAAACTGTTTCTTCAAGCCATATGTGGTATATGTGGTATATTCATGTCAGAGCGGCACAAGGTAACCAATACAGGCACTAATGTGAAGACACCTGAGCACAGGGGACAGAGGAGTCAGCCAGTAACAGAGCAAATGAGAGGTGCTAGAGGAGTTGAATGAAAGAGCAATGAGGAAATACTGGGCATGGATAGAAATCACGCCAACCTCTGAAGCCATATCTGGAAGAAGGAGAGCTGGTAGTTAACTACAGACAGGCAGACAAGTGTTGAGGTACTTCTTTGGGCCAACCCCATATCAGCTATTTTTGTTCAAGAAGGGGGTTCGTAGAGTTTATAGAAAGAAGACTTGTTTCTAGTCCACTTTATACTTCCAGGAGAAGGGGGAACAAAGGAAAACAAAAAACTCTGTTGCTCTCAAGTCTGAGTCATAGAGGCCCCATGGGACAGAGGAGAACTGCCCCACAGGGTTTCCAAGGTTGTGATCTTTTTTTTTTTTTCAGAAAAAAAAATTTTATTGTGATTTTTGGTGAAAGTTTGCATAGCAAGTTAGGTTCTTATTTGACAATTTCCACACAAATTGTTCAGTGATACTAGATGCATTCATCACAATGTATCAGCATTCTCTTTAATTGTATTCTGTTTGTTCTCTTCGCAGTACTCTAGTTTCCTTGCCCCCCTTATCTTCTCATCTTTGCTTTTGAGTAATTGTTGATCTTTTTGTCTCATACTGATGGTTTTCAATAAGGAACTCTGGTGGTGGTAGTGCTTTAGGCATTTGACAGCTAACCAGAAGGTTGGAGGTTCAAACCCACCAGCCACTCCACGGAAGGAAGACTGGGCAATCTACTTCTGTAAAGATTTACCATCTGGGGAACCCAAAGGGGTTGCTATGAGTCGGAATTGACTTGATGGCAGTAAGTTTGGTTTTTTTTTTTTGGTGGTTTTTAAGTAGAGCACTGATCTTACGGGTAATACTCTTTATTTTGTATGGCACTCTGCTATTTCACTAAAAGGTGATCTCAGAGGATAAGCCCACTTACAGGCTTAGTGTGGTTCAGGGTGACAGTCTCAGGGAGTCCTCTGCTTTCTACCATTCTAGTTTGACTGGCTTCTTCCTGCCCCCTTAATAAGTATTTGAGTTCTGTTCCATATTTTTCTCCTATTCTATCCAGGACCAACTATTGTGACCCTGGTTAGAAGAGTCAGTGATTGTAGCTGAACATCATGTAGTTCTCTGGTCTCAGGGTAGATGAGGTTGTGGCTTGTGTAGACTTGTTTCTTTTCTGAGGTTTTGGTTACCTTCTTACCATTTTGCTTCTGGCAGGTAGATACACATAGTTAGATGACCACTAGCAAGCTTTTAAGACCCTAGACACTTCTCACTTCACTAGGATGCAGATCTTAATTTTTGTGAACTATGTCATACCAATTGACTGAGTTGTTCTATGAGACTATAATCTTAAACCTTCAAACCCAGATTAATGTTGGAAGGTGTTTGATTGTCTGAGGAGTATCCATATTTGTGTATCGAATGAACATATGTGCTTGCATCCAAGCATTTGTATTTATACATAGGAGCTCTGGTAGCATAGTGGCTAAGACACTTGCCTGCTAACCAGACGGCTGGTGGTTCAAACCCACCAGCCACTCCTCGGAAGGAAGGTTGGGCAATCCTACTTCCGTAGTGATACTGCCTCGGAAACCCAAGGAGGGGTCGCTATGAGTCAGGTTTGACTTGACGGCACATAACAACAACAACAACATAGATGAGGAAGGAGCTCTGGTAGTGTAGTGCCTAAGGGACTTGACTGCTAACCAGAAGACTGGTGGTTCAAACCCACAGTCCAAACTTGGAAGGAAGGTTGGACAATCTACTTCTGTAGTGATACTGCCTGTCAGCTCTGACTCAACGGCAATAATGACAATAGATGAGGAACCTGTAAAGGGCTATCATTTGAACAGAACAAGGGGATACTACATGATTTAAAATAGGGAAGGGTGTGTATCAGGGTTCTATCCTTTCATCATACTTATTCAATTTGTACGCTGAGCAAATAATCCGAGAAGCTGGACTATATGAAGAAGAATGTGGCATTAGAATTGTAGGAAGACTCATTAACAACTTGCAATATGCAGATGATATGCTTGCTGAAAGTGAAGAGGATTTGAAGCACTTATTGATGAAGATTAAAGACTAAAGTATGCAGTATGGATTACATCTCAACACAAAGAAAATGAAAATCCTCACAACTGGACCAATTAGCAACATCATGATAAGTGGAGAAAATATTAAATTTGTCAAATATTTCGTATTACTTGGATCCACAGTCAACACCCATGGAAGCAGCAGTCAAAAAATCAGATGTCATATTGGACTGAGTAAATCTGCTGTAAAAGATCTCTTTACAATGCCGAGGAGAAAAGATGTCTCTTTGAAGACTAAGGTGCACCTAATGCAAGCCATGATGTTTTCAATAGCCTCATATGGATGTGAAATCTGGAGAATGAATAAGGAAGACTGAAGATGAGTTGAGTTGTGATGTTGGCAAAGAATGCTGAAAATACCATGGACTTCCAGAAGAATGAACAAATCTGTTCTGAAAGAAGTGCAGCCAGAATACTCCTTGGAAAAAGAACGGCCAGACTTCGCCTCACCTACTTTGGTCATGTTATCAGAAGAAACTGTTCCCTGGAGAAGGATATCTTGCTTGGTAAAGGGGAGGGTCAGTGAAAAAGGGGAAAGCCCTTAATGAGATAGATTGACACTGTGGCTGCAATGATGGGCTCAAGTATAGCAAGGATTGTGAGGATGGTACACAATCAAGCAGTGTTTCATTCTGTTGTACATAAAGTCCCTGTGAGTCAGAGCCAACTCAATGGCACCTAACAACAGTGACACAGATACTTCTTTGTATGCTTACTTATGTACATACCTGTACCTACCCATATACTAATTTGCCAGTATCCATCCATAGGTGCTCAGACACTCATTTTTACTTTTGTGGTGCTGTGCTCATTGCACACACACTTGGTGACTCTTTTCCCATCACCCAATCTACTGTACTTCCCATCACCCAATCTACTGTACTACAGTAGGCATAGTGCATAAGGCACTTGACTGCTAACCAGAAGGTCAGTGGTTCAAACCCACCAGCCGCTCTGTGTTAGGAAGACTAGGTGATCTACTTGCATAAAGATTAACAGCCTTGGAAGGCCAATGAGGATTTCTATGAGTCTGAAACGACTTGATGGAAGAGTTTGGTTTTGGTTTTGGTTATCGTGTAAAGCATACTTCCCCCACCCATCCTCCTTCCCTGGTGACCACTAGTGAACATTGGTCTTTCTATATTTATCTATTTTTATCTCCTTATAAAAGAGGGATTGTGGTAGTTAAGGTTGTATTCAACTTGGCCGGGCCTGGTTGAGTGGTTGAGCAGTTGGTGGTAGTTATTCCCCATAATGAGATTGGCAGTCAACTCTGTGGTGTGATCTACCACAACAGCTGAGTAGCTGTTTTAGGGATGTGGTCTGCTTCTTGTATATAAGAAGCAGCTTTGGGAATGGTCTGTATCTTATGGCATGCTTGAACCCTGCATGGAGCTGTGTCATTGTTCAGCAGCCTTCCATGCTCTGCCAATCTTGGGACTTTCAGCAGACTTGAATCAATGGCCTGCCACATGGTTTGGTAACATTGGCACTGTGCCTTTTTACTTGTCAACTTTGGGCTTGTCAGTCTCAGCAGCCAGCAGCAATCTGAGTAAAGAAAAGCCTCTAGCTTCAGTGGACCAGGAGTAAGAGGCAGAGCTGAATGAAGCCCAAGGTTGAGGGGCTTTCTCCCAGCCCCTAGAGCCTAGCACTTAGAACTCAGAATTAAAGCCTCCAGATTGTAAGAGAATAAACTCCTGTTTATTAGAGCCATGCCATTTGTGGTATATTCCTGTCAGAGCTGCACTAGGTAACCAGAATAGGGATCATGCAATATTTTTCCTTGCATGCTTGATTTAGTTATTTCACTTAGCGTTATGCCCTCTAGGTCTATCCATATTATGTTTTGGGCCTCATCATTGTTCTTTATGGTTGTGTAGTATTCCATTGTATGTGTGAACCATAATTTGCTTATCCATTCACAGACCGATGGGCACTTTTGCCAATTCCAAGGCTATGATCTTTACAGAAGCAGACTGACACATCTTTCTCCCGTTGAAGGGCTGGTGGGTACAAACCTCCCACTCACTGATTAGCAGCCAAGTGCTTAAACATTGTGCCACCAAGGGCTCCTTCCAGGAGAAAAGAAAGAAGGATTTTACTGATATTTGCCTGATGCATATGATACCTAGGACGCTGACTCTTATTTTTTAAAATATTTTATATATTTGTGGTAGCAAAATATACAACACAATATGTATCTATTCACAATTTTTACATGAACAATTTGATAATATTTGTTACATATTTCACACGTGTCACCATTCTCGTTATCCTTACCTTTTTTGTTGAATCACTATTAATTTAGGCTCTCTGTTCCTTAAAGTTCTGTGCTTTAGATTGAACTGTTGTGAGATTAAGCTCAACTAGACAATTCTCTGTAAGAGCACTGTGCTCAAGGCAGACATTTTCTACTTATTGGGCTGGACTCTGGCTCTCTCTATGGGGGACACTTGGAGGTAACAGCCTCCCCCAAATAATTGGAAACACATTGAATTTTCTTTTTAAAATTATTATAATATTTAATTGTATTGAGTATTAGGTGACAAACACCAGAGAGCATGTTGGACTCTAATGGGGCCTCTCTTTGCCCTTTACATCTGTCTCTTGCAGTTCAAGGTCAATGCTTTGCAGATAGCAACACAGAATGGCCATGGATCGCTTGTCAATTTGCTCCTCGGGAAAAATGTTGATTTGCACCAGAAAGTAGAAGTGAGTCTATTACAATAACACAGGAGGCTTTGTCCCAGAGCTGAGAGGTGGAGTGGGGCAGAGAGATGCTCCTTGTAGATACACCTGGGAAGTGAGATGCTTCACAAAGGAGGGATTCTTTCTGGAAAGGTGGACTGACTTCTTTGGGATACTCTGTCTTAATCTTGAGAAATAAAATACAGAGGGTGAAATTTAGAAAGTCATTGAAATTCTAGAACAAAAAGAAATCTTTGTGTTTTCAATATTTATGTTTAGTGCAATAAAACTTTCTCATGTGCCTACAGATAATATTATTCTTATATTAAATTTGTCTGTCTGGGAAAATGATGAAGCTGCTGTGAATATGAAAAAGATAATTTTCTCCCTTCACTGAAATGATCTTGTTTTTCTTTTGAAAGTCAATCCCTTATACTGAGTTAGGTTTTCTAATGTTTGAATTGCTTTTGGTAGAATTAACAAAGGTCCTCTGTGCTGGAATTAGATGGGAAACATTCTTCTATTTTTCACCGTATTTTCTTTTCTCTGGTGAGAGTATTTTTCCTCTGATCTTGCTTATCCATTACTATTTATTGTATTAACGGACAAAAGGGAGGTGGTTTAAACCATGTCTGATTGTTTTTGGAGAGTGGTGTTCAGGGGAATTGGCTCTGAACTTGCCTGATCCAGGCCAAGGGCACTTCCTGCTTCCTTAGGAGGGGCTGGGCTGCAGCAGGGCAGCGGGCCATGGCAGGAAGGACACTGCCCATTCTCTGGGATGAGGAATGTTTTCTCCTTTTTATGTTCAGTGCTGCAAGGGAGAAGGTTATATTCCTCAGCAGAAGAGACCTGCACAGAGACACCTTCTCCTCCCTCTGCCTCCCCCATCAGCCTTCCTCAGCTCCCTTTTCTCTTGCTCACCACGTACAGTGTCTGACTTCCTTGTTGTTGTTGTTATGTGCCATCGAGTCGGCCCCGACTCATAGCGACCCCTCCTTGGGTTTCCGAGGCAGTATCACTACAGAAGTAGGATTGCCCAACCTTCCTTCCGAGGAGTGGCTGGTGGGTTTGAACCGCCAGCCGTCTGGTTAGCAGGCAAGTGTCTTAGCCACTATGCTACCAGAGCTCCCCTGACTTCCTTAGCTATGGTGTATTACCCTCTCATCTATCCATCTGTGTGCTGTGACCTCTTGCCAACTCACTACCTCTCTCTTCTATCAATCTACCTCTGTCTCCTGAGAAGGAGCCTGGTGCAGAGGGTAGAGTTGGACAATCTGGGTTCAAATCCTGCCCCTGCCACTTTCTAGCTCTGTGGCATGGTGGAAATTGTACAACCTTACGGTGCCTCCTATATAAAGTGGCAAATACAATATCTAACTTCTAGGGTTATTGTGAATGAAATGATTCCTGAGAAACACTCAGCCTGGGGTTTAAAAACAAGCATCAAGTGTTGGGCCAATGAGTGTGTTGTTGTTGTTGTTATGTGTCATTGAGTTGGACCCGACTCATAGAGACCCCTCCTTGGGCTGCCGAGGCAGTATCACTACGGAAGTAGATTGCCCAACCTTCCTTCTGAGGAGTGGCTGGTGGATTTGAACCACCAGCCTTGTGGTTAGCAGTCAAGTGCCTTAGACACTACGCTACCAGAGCTCCAATGAGTGTGTAGTAAGTAACATTATAAGCATATGTTGAGTGTGCCCATTGTTAGCATCATCTACATTTTCATATCACTTTATATTCTGTGTTAGTTTCCTTGGGCTATAACAAAGTACCACAAAGTGGGTGGCTTTAAACAACAGAAACTTATTTTCTCACAGTTCTGGAGGCAAGTAGTCTGAGATCAGGTGTTGGCCATGTTGATTCCTTCTGAAGCTTTGAGGGAGAATCTGTTCCATGCCCCTCTCACAGCTTCTGGTAGCTCCAGGAATTCCTTAGCTTGCAGTGTCCGATTGGTGTCCTCCCTCGGTGTGTGTCTCTGTGGTTCTTCTCTTTTATAAGAACAGCACTCAGATGGGATTAGAACCCACACTTCTTACGTATGACCTCATGTTAATGTAACTGATAACATCATTAAAGACCCTCTCTCAAATAAGTCATGTTCACAGGTCCCAGGGTTTAGGACTTTAACATATCTCTTTTTCTGGGGGGTGGGGTGGGCACCATTCAATCCATAGCATGCTATCTGCATCATCCACCGTCACACACGTCTGTGTTCACACTCTCCATTCACTTTGCTTTCAGCTGACTCTTCTCACAGTCTCACTAGATCTTCTGCCCTTGCTCTTTCACACCTGTACACCTCCCCTTCTCTTTTCCACTTCCCCCCCACTTTCACCACCCACACTAGGTGTCTGGGGAACCAAGAAAAGACCCCCAAAAGAACATGATTGCAAGGCACATGTTCTAATTACAGTAAAGAGATGACAAGGCCTCTCTTGTGATTGAATGTTTGCTTTTAGAGATGGCAAGGCCTCTCTGTGGTTGAATGTTGCTTTAAGAGATGGCAAGGTCTCTCTCACTGTTAAAATGCTTAATTGGCAATACATCAAAGTATTAAACTTAGATGTTATTCCAGTAGTCCATGTTTTTATTTAATTGGGATGTTTCATACTTTGGGTCACTGTGTCCTAGTAAACATTTATCGGTTTACACTCTTTATTCCTGAGGAGATTTCTGTGATTGTTTTAATTACCACCTGTTGTCCTTGAGCACGTAGAGGAATAAAACTTTAGCTCTGTAGAGAATAAGCTGATTGTATGGATTCCAAGACTAATGATGTAATCATGCACAAACATAAATAAAGTAGAACAAAGGTATCAGGGGTCGCTCTCACAGAACATGCAGGGCATCCACTGGCCCCCGTTCCTTAAAATAAAAAAGAAAAATCTTAATCCTTTCTTTTTGCTTCATTTTGTGACCTGTGTGGTTTTGCAGGACGTGGCATTGGTGCTCTTCACACTTGACTCTTTCTGACATCTTAACCACTTTTGCCCCTACTTCCTTTCACTGCTTTCTCCTTGCTGCCTCCTTTTTTTCCCCTCTCTACTCCTGGAGACATGTATTTTCTCATGACTCCGTGTACTAAGTGGGGCAGCTGGGTGGGAGGGAGACAGCAAGGAGAGACTACAGTCTAAGTGTGGAGGTGGGCACTGGTGCCTGGTAGGGCTGAGTTAGAAGACTTCTGGAATGGGGGAGAGGGACGAAGAAGCTCCAGATGAGATGTGGCCCGGAAGAAAGGTGTTTTGGCCCACAAACAAGGAGGAAGGGAGAGCAGACTGCAAAGGGCTTGGACTCTAGTATAGGGGGAAGGCTGAACAGAACAGGGGTCCTGAAGTGAGTAGAGACATTAGTCCCACAGGATGCTCAAAGAAGAAAGAACTCTAAATCAAACACATCCAGGAAATGCTGAATGTACATACTATACTATTTCCCCTTGTGGCTATTCCCACTGCCCTTTAGTTCTTTGAAGGCTCTGAGAAGTCCTGGAAGTAAGCCCTATATGATTGATCCTTTCTTATGCTTCACATTTGACAAAGCCTCTTTTGACCTCCAGGAAGGTCACCCCAGCCCTGCCACACCTATGCTCCATGTAATAACACTCTCTACTTCTCCTCCAAAGCTCTTATCGCACTTTGTATTTGTATGTTTGTGGATATTTATCTACCCCACTAGACTGGAAGGGCCCTCAGAATAGGCCATGCATATTTTGTTCACCACTAAATCCCTGGCATCCTGATAAGACCTTGGCCTTTAGTGGGTGCTCACTAGATTGTTCTGAATGAATGAAGGGAGAGATTGCTGGTGAGCAGGTTTGCCAGCAGCCTTCGGATGGGAGTGATCTCTGAGCACCGACTGAGCTTGCACTGTGCTGGGCAATGTTAGTAAACAAACAAACAAACCAAACCACTGCCATCAAGTCAATTCCGACTCATAGCAACCCCCATTGGGTTTCCAAGGCAGTAAATCTTTGCAGAAGTAGATTGCCTTATCTTCCTTCTGCAGAGCAGCTGGTGGGTTTGAACTGCCAACCTTCTGGTTAGCAGTCAAAAGCCTTAGGTACTGCACCACCAGATCTCCTTTGAGCAATGTTAATACCCAGGGGAAAATGTTTATACTCAGGAAAATGAGTTGCTTTTTTTTTTTTTTTTCCTAACTTTTTTTTTTTCTGTATGTGTGTAATTTGGGTGAAAGTTTACAGAGAAAATTGGTTTTCCTTTCAATAGTTCACACACATTTTGATTTGTGACATTGATTGCAATCCCCATGATGTAACAGCTCTCTTCCCACTTTCTCTGTGTTTACCATTTCCATTAGTCCTTCTTTCCTATCCCTTCCTGCCTTCTGAGCTTTATCCTGGGCAAATGGTGCCCTTTTGATCTTGTATGATTGGTTGTTCAAAGGAGTGCATATCTCCCTGTGGTGGTGTTCACATTGTAGGTCTGTCTATTGTTTGGCTAAAAGATGAGCCATGAGAGTGAGTTCTGTTCCAGGCTTGAAGGGTGTCTAATGAGTTGTTTTTTGACTTGAATGACTAAGCCAGCATCCCTTGGACTTGACATTTTTATTTCCTTCTGTAGCCTAAGGAGTCTCCTCTTCATTCAGCTGTTATCAACAACCACATCACTGTTGTAAACAGCCTGTTAACTGCACAACATGATATTGACATCTTAAATCAGGTAAGCCAGGCAAATCAGAACCCAGTCTATTTTCTTTCTTTTTTTTTTTAAATTTTATTTTGATTTGGGTGAAGATTTACAGAGTAAATGCACTTTTCATACAGCAGTTCACATATACTTTGTCTCATGTCGTTGACCAAAATTTACAATGCAACAGCTCCCCTCCCACTTCCTCCCCATAGTCACCTCTTCCCAGTGTCCATCCCTCCATACTCTTCTGCGCCCTGAGCTGTCTCCCTGTGCATAAGCAGCCCTTCCTTCTCCCATGATTGTTCTCTCCAGGGCGTGTGTCTACTTGAGGTAAATGTTTAACTCACATGCCTGTACTTTGTTTGGCTGGAAACCACAGGTGTGGGTTCAATTCCAGACCCGAAGGGCAGCTAGGGGCCATAGTTTCAGTGGTTCCACCAGGCTCTATTGGACCAGCAAACCTGGTCCCCAACTTCTTTTTTTTTTGCCTCCAAATGATTTTGAGTTTTGTTCCACATTGTTCTCCCTCTCTATGCAGGATCTCCTACATCCCTTCCAAGTGGATGACAGTGGTAGCTGGGCACCATCTAGTTCTTCTGGTCTCATAGTTGTATAGGTTGCAGATCGGATGGTGTACCAGTCGCTAGGACTGATTGTTTCCATTAATTTTGGTTTTCTTCTTTCTTCTTGACGAGGAGAGACCCACTGTTGCATCTAGATGGCAGCTTCCTAGCTTTTAAGATCCCAGTCGCTACTCGCCAAAGTAGGAGGTGGAACAATGTTTTGTATAGTATGTTATGCCAATTGAGCTTGATGTCCCCTGTGACTATGGTCCCAAGCCCGCAGGATCAACTACTCAATCGCTCTGGGTAGCTGGCTGTGACCAAGCAATGACCATAACCTTGCCCCTTGTCAGCTCTACTATACACCTGGGAATTCTGATCATTCACATAAACTTACAGGACCATTGTCTGCGAACCCTATATATGATCTTGGATACACTGCCCATTTAAACATACCTAATTGTTTAGCCTGTCCACCTTTCTATCCGTCCATATACCCGTGTTTGCTTTCACTGACAACTCAGTACTGTATATGCAAAAGCGTTCATATTTGTTGTCTGTACTTTCCATGTAACTCTCTATGTCTTTCTCATCCTCAATGCTGCCATATTGGTCACTCACATTTGGTACATTGACCTTCTCTTCACCCAAATCAATATTTATCTCTATCTATCTAACAGCGTTCCCTCCCCTCCCCTCCCACTCCTGGTAACCAACAAAGAAAATTTCCTCCAATAGATAAACCTTTCCTTAACTTTTACAATAACGGACTAATACAATATTTGTCCTTTTGTGACTGACTTATTTCACTCAGCATAATGTCCTCCAAGTTCATCCACGTTATGCGGTGTTTTGCAGATTCTACATTATTCTTTAGCATTGCATAGTATTCCATTGTGTGTATGTACCATAGTTTGGTTATCCATTCCTCAGTTGATGGACATCTAGGTTGTTTCCATGTTTTGGCTATTGTAAATAGTGCTGCGATGAATATCGGCGTGCATACATCTGTTCTTGTTATGGCTCTCACTTCTTTAGGGTATATACCTAATAATGGGATGGCTGGGTCAAATGGTATTTCTAATTCCAACTTTTGAAGGAATCGCCATACTGCTTTCCACAATGGTTGTACCATTTTACAGTCCCACCAGCAGTGTATGAGAGTCCCAATCTCTCCACAACCTCGCCAGCATTTGTTATTTTCTGTCTTGTTGAACTTTGATACTAGTGCTGGAGCAAGACGGTCTCTCATTGTTGTTTTGATTTGCATTTCTCTAATAGCTAATGATCCCAGTCTATTTTCTTATATTTAAATGCAGGGTCTGTTTGTTGTTGTTGTTGTTAATGTAACATCGAGTTGGACCCTACTCATAGCGACCCCTCCTTGGGTTTCTGAAGGTGGTATCACTAAGGAAGTAGATTGCCCCATCTTCCTTCCGAGGAGTGGCTGGTGGGTTTGAACCGCCAGCCTTCTGGTTAGCAGTCAAGTGCCTTAGGCACTATGCTACCAGAGCTCCCAGGGTCTGTTTAGTGGTGATTTTGATCAAGTTCAAGGTGCTCTAAAAATTCGTGGGAGGGATAAGTGCATTATATTTCTCCTGTAACCCTCACCCCTCCTCCCACTCACATGCTTTTACTGAAATGCACAACTGGGGTTCAGCCCAGTATAGTATTAAATTGCTTACTTCCAACAGACCCAGGACTTTTGACAGATAAACAGTAGCTCAGAGGTAAATTACCAGAGGCTCTTTAAATCAAAAGTCAGTCCCCAAGAGTGATATGTTGTAATTGGCAGGGAGCCCTTTGCCACAAGAAGGAAGGATTTTTTTTCTGTATTAGAGTTGGTAAATATGTCTTCCTTTTGCCTGAAGGTAAAAACAAAACAAAACAAAAACCTCTCCTGATATAAAAACTTTCCACGAATTCAATTAGCTGAAGCAGAATCAAATGCCTCATAAAAGGAGTTCATCCCTGGCTGAAATTGAAAGTACCCAGTTGCAATAATAACAAGGAAAGGGGTGGTGGTGTGTGAACTAAGGGTCTGCTCTCTGGGGCTTCGGGCTAAGTCTCCATGCTCCCAGAGGCCCTTTCTACTGGCTCAGACCCTTACCTGGCGAGGTGCCTGATGTGGGAGGGAGAACCCACGCCAACCTTCTGGCTGCTTCTCCTCAGAAAATTCTAAGCCCTCTCTAAGCTAAAGAGAAGCCACGGTAAGGTGGGCCTGCCAGTCCTACCCCGATAACCCAAAGCTGGGTGGCCCTCAGTTCCCCTATCTGCACCAGCATTGAGTCCGATCCCTGCAGTCTCCTCCAACCCTAACTTGTGAGCTAATTTTCAGTCTGAGCTGAATGGAGACTTATCTCCACTTCTGTCCACCCCAACCCACTTTTCTAGGAGCCCTTCTCCATCTTTTATTATCCTAAAATTTTGGGGATAAAACCTCTTGTTATTAAATATACACACATACAAACTAAAAACCAAAACCAAACTCACTGCCATGGAGTCGATTCAACTCATAGGGACCCCTCCTTGGGTTTCTGAGGCAGTATTTCTACGGAAGTAGATTGCCCAGTCTTCCTTCTGAGGAGTGGCTGGTGGGTTTGAACTGCCAGCCTTCTGGTTAGCAGTCAAATGTCTTAGGCACTATGC